ACTGTAACTACATAGCCAAAAGGGCATTAAGAGTTGTTAACTTACTCCTACGTAGCTTTTTTTCTGGTAATATCACACTACTAACTAGAGCATACAAAACATTTGCTAGACCAATACTTGAATACAGCTCATCAGTCTGGAATCCGCATTACGTATCTGATATTAATACAGTTGAGAAAGTCCAGAAATATTTCACAAGAAACGTTCTCCACTCCTCTACTTGTTGCAGAATACTTTATGCCACCAGACTTGAAATTCTAGACCTAGAAAACCTTGAATTACGCTGTCTTCGGTCTGATCTAAGTATGGTATATAAAATCATACATTGCAATGACTTACCTGTCAATGAATACTTCAGCTTCAACCATAACAACACAAGAGCACACAATAGATACAAACTCAAGCTTAAATGCACCAAACTTGATTACAGGAAATACGACTTCAGCAACAGAGTGGTCAATGTCTGGAATACTCTACCTGACTCTGTGGTTTCTTCCCCAAACCCCAAAAACTTTAACCTCAGACTGTCTACTATTGACCTCACCCCTTTCCTAAGAGGTGTGTAGGGGACGTGCATAAGCGCACCAACGTGCCTACCGTCCCTGTCCTATTGTTTCTTTTTATTTTTCTTATATGTATCAATTTCATGTATTCACAACTATGTTTATACCTGTTATCTTATAATTGCTTGACAAAAATAAATAAATAAATAAATAATTAGACAGAGTGTTATCCTTCCTTCCCATCTTCTCTTCTCAGAATCGACCATTCCTTCTCTTAATCTCCTGTGTTGCCCTATTCCGAAGCCTCTACCCTTTCTTTCTTCTGGGTTTCCTCTTCCGATCTTCTGTGGCCTGGAAGGATGCGGGAAATAACAGAGAAAATGCTTCCTTTCAGGGCTATGATAGCATAATAGAAAAAAAAAAGCCTTTACTAGAATATATAGTCCATCTTGCTATGATAAAATCAAACAAAAGGCAAGCAAAGGCAAAAATAAAAACCACACAAAATCAAAATTAGGTCTAACCAAAAACAGGCATTTTTTTTAAAAGCATTTCATGAAATGTTTCATGAAATTCAAATAAGCTACTTCAAACTATCAGAGCCCCTTCATTTTTTGAAACTAAGTTAGAAGAACTCTTAGGAGCCTTTTGAAAGTAGGCAGGAGTATAGAGGGGTACTTATCCTGCTTTGCTGCATATGCAGAGTGAAGTATAAAATACGGGCCACGGGGTCGGGGTCGGGGTGATCAGTTGCTCCTCCACCATTCTGCCAGAATATGAATTGGAGCCGGAGTGTCTCCTTTGAGGGAGAAATGGTGTCCTATGGGAGCTGCCTATTCCTCCAGGAAGAAACCAGTCGTGGAACGATCCCCATGACCTCAGTCTTTGCCCTCAGCCAGGTAGGCAATCCTTTACAGATCACAATGGTCACTTGCCCAGCGGGGCGGCTGCTGTGTTCTCCCTTTGCCATGTGGTTGTCTTTACTGTCCTTAATAAACTCATCTTTGATTTACTATAATTGGACACAAACGTTCTGTGGTTAACAGGAGGCCAGCAGAGATAAGCTCGTCAATTCTGGGCTAATGACTCCCTGGAGGCGATGGTCTTTTTTCTTTCCCTGATGTGTGAGGCTTCCAGGCAGGCCATTGTCAGGGATCCCCTCAGAGTAATATCCGGGGGTGATGGAGGTCACCAACCCTTCGGATAGGAGATCTGCTCCTTGGGCTACCTTTCTCATTGCTGTCCAGGTTCTGAAGATACCAGTGCAGGCTTGTCGGCTGAAAAACCAGCAGCACAGGTTCAAGACCCGAGCACCGTGGGATGAGGTGAGCTGCTGTCTGCTCCTGCCTGAAGGGGTTGTCCCTGAATTAAGTGTATCTCAGTTCCAGGGGTGTTTTGTGGAGAGGGAACACTGTCGTTGCAAAATGCCCTGGGATGACCAAGAAGGTAAAATCTGTTCTCCAGCATTGTGGAGCAAGTACCTGAGAGTAAAGTCCCCTCTGACTGTGCTTCCTCTTTTCAGATTTTGCCAGAAGAAGGAAGGGGTTATGGCTAAGCCTTTATTGAGTTACCTTACAGGTGTCCTATTGCAATAGCTTAACTGGACACAACCTGCTATAGGGCTTTGGATAAACACAAAGGAAATATAACTCCCAGTGAGTCTCATTGGTAATGGTGGTGTTTTATTCCTCCATCTGTGCCTGACACAGAATCCCACTGAATTCTTGATGTGGAATAAATTGCTACCACTAAGTCACTTTTTAGAGAGGGAGGGAGAGACAAGGTGTTGGCCCTCCACAATATATATTTCTGTAGACATAATCCCTCTCCCCTGAGATTTACACTCAAACACTCCACAGAGGCTGGGGGCAGATGGTCTCTCTTCAGGAGGGCAGGGATTAATTATTTTCTTCCAAGACAAACAAAAAGCCGCATTTAATTTTCAGAGGCAGAAATGATAGGATTGAAATTGATTTGTGTGTGTGTGTGTGTGTGTGTGTGTGTGTGTGTGTGCCAGTCTCATGGATGACAGTGTTCAAATTTCTCCCAATAGTTGGTAGACCAAACAATTGGGAGCTGATAACATGAAAGGATACATACCACCCTGAGCAACTTTGCCATGCAGGGTCTCTTGTGCTTCATCCCGCCGTGAACTGCAGGTAGTGTAACAGTTCTGCCATTTCAGAAGAAATACTACCAGGTTAGTTTATTACTTGGTGAAGATGATGTGCTCCATCTGGCCTCGAGGTGGCACAAAAATAGACTAGCATAAAAGTTGGCATTTCCATTGCCAATCTTCATCCTGCCTCTGTTGACTCTTTCTGAGCCTGTGCCTTTGTCCTAATGTGCGAATGCACCCATGGTTGGCTTTCTCCATTTGCTTTTCTGCCCCCCACCCCCGATAAAGAGGACACCCACTGGTCAGAATACGGGTGGCAGGGTGGGGAGGGGCACATTGGGACCCTGCCTGGGTTTCTCTAGGCTGTTTGACTGCCTCTCTGGCCACACCTCCTCAAGTCCACCAGCTAGCTCCTGTAGGTCAAGAGAACTGCAACTGATCCGATGTAGGCACCCCAATCCCAGGCTTTGGTGGCATGGGAGGAATGGATTGAAAGAGAGAATGCTATAAAGCACTATGCAGCGGTATACAAGAATAAGTACTATTGCTATCAGCCAAGGTCAGCAAGGTACTATTAATTTTAAGAAATGTTTAAAGACAGCTTTTATCAACATAAGTATTCTTGAAGTGTTCCAGAGAAATAAAAAGCTCCTTTGTGCCATTTGGGTCCCTAATCAAGGTACTTATCCTTTTACAGGGAACCAACACAATTTATCTGCCTGCCTTTTATAGAACAAATTATGAACCTACACTGACCTCTAGTGGATCTCTTTGAAGTGCAGCTCTTCCCTTGTATACAAGTGGGCCACTCACTCAGTGTCCTCCATTTCAAGAGCCCTACCTATCTTATCAAAAACGCTGCATCCCCCCCCTCCCCTCAACTAAAAGCAACAACAATCACTGCAAAAGCTTATGCACCCAAGGGAAGATTGTGACCTTCCTCTTTACAGAATATTGGTGTTTGGTTCTCCTTTAGGAATGGTGGGAAGAGAAGCAACGTTGCAAAGAGATTTGGGGGACCTTTTGTCTAATTCCTGCTGATCTTTATATATTCCAAATTCTTCTATATCTTTCTTATATCTTGTTTGAATTTGTAAATAAGGACACTAATCTGTTTGTTCAGTTCTTGATTAGTTTTCAATTTTCCCTGTTCATCCAATAATTCTTTATGTCTTACTATTTTATTTAAGCCAAGGACATTGGTATACACCATTGCTTCTATGGTGGATAACCAAATTGGGATCTTCATGTAATGATTTCTCTTAATTCTCTCCCATGCAGATAATGAGATGTCTCTAACTTTGTGCCTCTGGAAGTATGAATGAAATGTATTTTCCCTTCCCATATAAACTCATGCCAACCAATCTGCAGATCATGCCCCTCTATTGTTAAGGGGAGCTCACTGGCCTCTGCCATCCCCACATTCAGCACTTTGAAACAGATCTGGTCAGGAAACAGAAACCCCAATAACTGGAACTCTGTGGTTGCACAAAATCTTAATATCATAGGAGAGCTTCTCCCTCCAGCCCTCTTGGTCAAGATAGAGCGAGTTGAATTTTGCCTGAGAAGCCCAGCTGGGTCCCAAAGGTCCACCACCGTCCCTCTTCCTGCAGTCTCTTGACCAGGAGGTGTGTGGTGGATGGGGGCACCAAAGGTACCAGAGAAAGCCAACCATTGACATGCTCAGAAACCGGGGCTCAGAAACAGGCAAAGGGACAGGATAGAGATTGGCAATTGGGACACCAACTTTTATGCAGGTCTATTTTTGTGCCAACTCAAGGATGGCAGAGGAAAGCACCTGGATTCAGTCGTGGAGAAAGGTCAAAAGAAAGAGATGGCTAGCAGCAATCCTGGCTGAATCGCATCCCATGTCTCTTTGTGACTGCAAATGAAATCACCCTGCCCCATTAAAAGATGGCATCAAAGGCAGAGGTCTGGGGCACAGCTCAGACCTTAGGAGGATGCAAATACTCTTCTGGCCCGAGGCTCTTTGAGCAGTTGCAGCATACAGAATGCTGGTCCGCACCGTTCACCCCCACCCCTCCTGCCTCCCTCGGGCCACTTGCTGCCCCTTTCAGTCTTCTGCTTACATCCATCGAAGGAAAGGCAGTCCGGCCGCCCTCAAACCAAAACTCTGCTCTTGGGCCGCTGAGGAGAAACCCCCCTGCCCCCCCCAATCCAAACACGCCGGTTGGCAGTCTGTCCCAGACCAAGCGCAGCTTAGGCACAGAAAGCCCCCCACCCCCGCGCCTTCTTCCTGCCCGTCGGCCGTGATCCCACGTCCCGCTCCCCTTGTCTGAGAGCATGGCCCGGTCGGAAAAACGTCGCAGCTGCCGCCCACTTGGGACGGCCCAAAGGATCAAGCGGAGCCGGCGTTCTCAGGGTAAAACCCGGTTTGGGAGGCGGCGCTTTATTTCATGGCCAGAGGCTGCGCGGCGGCACTCAAGCGCGGCTTAGGCGCATCTCTTCCTCGGACGCGCGCCCGGAGACGCTTCCGATTGAGCCTTCGGAGCAAGAAGTGGTAACTGCGCGGCCCGCAGCCTCTTGCTCCCGGGAGAGAAGAAGCACCCCAGCCGCAGTAGTGCTACAACCGCCTTCACTCCCCGTCCCCCTCCGAGAGGGAGCCGGAGGCCCGCAGAAAGGGGCGCTGGGCAGAGCCGGGCTTACAACTCGTTCCCTTCGCCGGGTCTGGAGAGAGAAGGGGGTGGGAGAGCAGGCGGAGATCAGGAAAGTCCCCGGGCCCGGAAGGCTTGGATAATGGGGCCAGGGCTACTCACCGCCGCTGCTGCTGCTTCCCTCCGCAGCGGAACCGCCGACCTGCAACAGAAGAACTTGGTGAAACCTCGAGCCGCCAGAACGGGCAGCTGTTGGGGGTTCCGCCTGGCCGCCCCGATGTCCTCCCTCCCACCTGCCCCCGGGAGTTGGAGCTTTACCCCGAGACCGAGAAGGCGGAGGCAGCGGCGGCTCCTATTTTCCTCGCAGGAAGGGACCCGCTTTCCTGGGTCCCGGGGGGGGGGGGGAAGGTGGCCAGAACCTCCCTCGCTCCCCTTCCCTTCGCTCCCCGCCGCTTACTGAAGAGTATGGCGAGCCCGATCAGGAAGGCCGCCACGGCGAAGATGAGCCCCCCGTGACGGACGGTCTCGTAGTCTGGGGAGAGAAGAAAGCGCGCTCAGCGGAGGCAGAGCGAGAGAGGCGGGGCGGCCACTGAGTTGGCCTCGGGTTGCCGCCGGGCAAGGACCCCGCGCTAACGTTGCACCGAGTGGCTGCCTCTGCCGAACGCCCCGGCCGGTTACTTACCAAACAAGCGGCGAATCAAACGCGCGGGGAAGGTCTTGGCTCCGAGCGGCAAAGGAGGCGAAGCTCCTCGGACACCTCCAAGGAAGGTGCCCGGAGAGAGCGCGGCTCGGCAAGCGGGAGGGGGGTGGTGGTTTTTTTTTAATGGGGTCGGAGGGCGCCCCCTATTGGTTGCTCTGCCTTAGGTGAGCAGGTTCGGTTGTGTTTGGCTCAAAGGGAAGCGCGATAGAAATGAAATGACACGAATATATTTTTTTTTTGGGGGGGGGGGGGGACAAGACTCCGCGGTGTCGGGTCTCCTCCTCTCCGTTCCCTTCTTATTCTTCACCGTGGAATTCCTCGGAGGTCTCGCGTAGTAGACGGCTTGGTGTTAACGGACCGGGCGGTTCAAGCCCGTCTCCCCTTTCTCTGGAGCCCCTGCCGGGGCAAGCAGAGGCGGCGGCCAATTCCCTGTACCGCCCCTTCCTGGGGCTAGCTAGCCCCCTCGCCACTTCTTACCGTAAGAAAAGAGGCCGTTCTCGGTCTCCGGCAAATTTTCTGGCAGGAACGGGAGGAGAGAAAAGAAACCAAATCAGAAGCCGGGCAGTGGCGGGGCGGGGCGGGGCTTCCGAGGACGCGACGCTGCCACCCGGGCTCCAGAGCCTTTCGCATTCGGCATCCGAAACTTTCCGGCCGGCTGGTGGAGCCAGGGCGGAACTGCCGGCTACGCGCCCCAGCCAAGAGGGCAGCCCCGAGAGGCTCGCGGCGACGACAAGAAAAGACCCACTTGCCACATCGGTGGGGGAGAAAGGAGCCGGTCCCATCGCGCCACCCGCTGGTTTTGCCCGCGAGCGCCCGGATCTCGCTGCGGAAAGGCCTGGAGAGCAACTGCGCGGGGCAATAAATAAGGCGCTAGCTCCCGCCCAAGGCAGGACCCCCTCGCGCGTCTGATGGGGACGCCTCTTCTGGGGTTTTTCCAGCTCTCCAACGCCCCCCCCCCCCCGCCCCTGGTCCAGGTCCCCCCAGTGAGAGGAATGCCTGCCTTTACAAGGCAGAGTCCAGGTCTCTCCTTAACCTATGGCGCTCTTTATCCACAGTCCCATTTGGCCACCTGGTCCCTCCAAGAGGGCTGGATCAGAAGGTCGGAGTTACTCTCCTCTGGCTTCCTTTGGAGGAAATGGGAAGGGGGGCTAGTGGAGGGGGTAATTTATTTCCAGCTGTGAAGATCCTGGCCCACCTACCCATTTCCAGCCTGTCTGGCGACTGGCCATAGGGACAGCCAGCCCCGGCCACACACACACACATTGTAATGGGGAGCAGGGAGGACAAACACCTCATTAACCATTAACCAGCTGCCTGTAATGTTTATCCCAGTCACAAGGCAGAGCCTGGGGGAGGCTACCTTCCTCTGGAAGGGCTCCGTCTCCTTGAAAACAAGGCACAGGCTGAGGCCTGGACCACCCAAAGCTCCCCGCTCTGCTCTGCTCCATCCTGCTGCTGCTCGCATGGAGTGGTGGCTGCCCCAGAATTGGCACCAGGGTTACAGGAGAGACTCAGCTGCAGTGGAGGTAAATAAGGGGGTCCAGTTTGGGGAGAAGCCGATCTCCAGCCCTCTTGCCTGCCACCACCCACTCCAGAATGAGCAGGTGGCTCAGTGCTGTCCTTTGGACACCTGCCTCTCTCAGACTGGGAGCCCACCTTCTTTGGACAGCTCCCTCCCCATGGTATCACATTGCAGCAGTCTGCGTCTAGACAGGAAACATCCTGGTCTCCCTGCCAATGAAGCATATGGGGTACCCCAAAACCAAACAGCTGGAGCTGTCTCCCACCCCAGAAGCCAAAGCTCTCTCTTGTGCGCGCACACATTCTGCACAAGGCTCGTGGCTTTAAATGTTTGCTGTAGCAATGCAGAAAGGCTTAAAACAATCGGCTGTAAACTTGTGGGGTGCAGGCGCAGATACCATTGCAAACAGCCTTTCCCTAGCAACGGAGTCATGTGGCTTTTGAAGTTCTCCAACATGTTTGTTTTTCCATCAGTTGTGATCCCCTAAAACATCTGCAATAATCCACCTCAATCTTTCAGGTGCCAGCAAATGCTTTTTGATGTCCGGCTCCTGCTCTGACATTACACGGAAACCCCTAAAGGAGACTAAAGCAACCACACCAGGAAGCCAAGTTGAAGGATTTCCCCAAGGTCAACCAGAAACGCCCTCAGATTCCCCTCTGGCCATCAACCCACTCAGCGGAACCTCCTCCTGGGGGGCCCTTCATTGGCTGCCCACCTGGCATTCCAATGGTGGAGGTTTCACTCAGGGCCCAGACTCCCAGGAAGGTGCATTTGCCACCCCCTGGCCTTCTTTTCAGCACACCACCTGAGTCACAGGCAGGAAATCTCCCCCCACCAACCACACTTTGTATTTTGTTCAGATTTTATGGGATTGTGCTGTCTGATGACAGACAGGGGGGGGGGGGGGGGAGGGGGGGGAGGGAGGGAGAGAGAGAGAGAACCAGTCGATGCTGTGGAAAAGGAGAGGCTGCCCAGCTGCATTTCTCCTTTGCAAACGGGAAGGGCCTGGGCTGAAGGGACCACAGGCCCTAGAAGTGCAGGAAACCCAACTCCTCCTCATTCACTGAGCCCCCCTCAGGACCCCTCATGCATTGCAGGAGAACACTGAGGCACTGAAATAGAAACAACATTTTATTTGATGCTCCCCTTGAGTTGAGACACAGCACAAACATGTGGGGGTCCTTTATCACAGCCACACAGTAGGACAGCCTACACCAAGGGAATGCACAACCAGGGTTTGGGTTTTGGAATTACATTTGTACACAGATGTTTTCAATGGTTGTTACCTACTGCACACTACAGAGACGATAGAGCCACATGGCAATACAGAAGGTGTGGCAACCACAGCTAAGACAAAACGGGGGAGGGGGGGAAGGGAAAGGGTCGGGTCCTCTTCTGCTTTCCTCAACTGATGGCATCTAACCAGGTGGCTGCATAAGATAAGGAGTGACCAGGGAAGCCTTCTGCATTTGGGAGGGGGGATTTCTAGGGCTAGGGAATGGGGCATTAAGGTCAGGCCAAACCCACTTCCCACCCTCATCCGGAAGAGCCTCTGCTGCTCTCTGAGCTTCCAATGGAAACCATCCTGGAACTGAATTTCTCACTCTTTCCTGGGCTGAATTCTGTTGCCAATTCTGCCAAGCACTTTAGAATAAGAACCAAAGGGCACCCAGGATCTTGCAGGATGTTGTGTTGCAACCTGCAGGGGTGCGAACTTGGCAGAACAAATGCCCTATCCAAATCAAGTCAATGGTAACAGGAGTCGCCTCAGCCCACCCCATGAAGACCTGGCCCTCACCCCAAGGCACCCACCGAGGAAAAGGACCCGGCCAGACTAGCCTCTTAGCCTCCTGGGGAGCCAAGGGAAGCACCCCTCCCATTCCAACTCCTTTCCTGGCCCTGTGGCTGGTAGGCACCAGAGACAGGATGGCCTTGCTGACAAGCAGCTTCTGGAAGGGCCAGAGGGCGGGGGGCAGGGAGGCCGCTGCTGCCAAGGCTGAACACCACCAAGGTCCCGGCCTCCCTTTCCTCAGTCCAGGCCCTTCCCACAGGCCACTTGTCCTTCCCTCCTCGAGTTTCAGCTGGGAGTGGGGCAGCCATAGCCTTTGCGCACATCAAGGCAGAAGTGGCCAGTTCTTCACCTGGGAGGGTCAGCATATAAAACCGGCATGGGGGAGGAGGGGGGTCACGGAGGAGATAGTTGCACAAGGACGACACATCAAGGCCACAATGATGACAGGTGAACATTATGCAACCAGACATGGATTTGATGGGGAACAGTTAAGCAGAGGACTGATTTTCCAGGGCACAGGCCAACATGGACACCAACATGTCAACATTCCCTTAGAGGACCGGGGGCCATCACCTCCACGTCCCTTCATCTGGTTTGCATTTGGAATTCACTGGTCCAGTGTCAGCTCTCCTTTGCTGAAGAAGAGAAGGAGACAGTGGCAAAACAGGAGGCCCCTGTGCAGCACATGAAGGCACATCTGGTATAACATTTAAAACAACAAGAGCCCCATTTCACAAAGGCTTGCCAACTGTAGCCACTCTTGGGAGAAAGCAAAGATCACTTTTCATGCAAATTTCCCAAAAGGTTCAGGCTTCTTTGTCTTTCTCCACCCAGGTTTTCTCGGTCAGCTGCTCCTTTCTCCTTCTCAGGACAATCCCTGAATTTTCAATTTGGCAAGATTTGCTCAGTTTCTGTTGTTCAACACTCTTCCCCTTCTGAAAACTCACCTGCACACCTTCACTTCAGTTCTCTTCTTTCTGTGGTGCTGCTGGTGCTGCTGCTGCAAAAAAACCACCTTTGATGCTTTTCTCTCCCACAGATCAAGTTCCCATGGCCCATGCAGGAGGGTCACTCTGGTGGGCCCGGTCCCTCCCTCCCAGCCACAGGAAAGGGGGAGCTCCCCCAGGAGGCCAGACAGCCCTCTAGGCAAACGCAGCACACTTCCCGGGCCCCTCTCTTGCCCCAGCAGGTGGCACAAGCGGGGAGGGGAGGCAGGTGGAAGACTGAATGGGCCCCGCAAACCCTTTGCCCCCTTCTGGGGCCAGGAAACCTCCCCCTGAATGGGGGCAGCCAAGCCTTACCGTTTGACGCAATCATGTTCTCAGCCTGCACCTCCTCATCACCAGGAGCCCTGCAGAACAAGAGCAGACAGGAGGCGTCACCACCTTCCCATTCCCCAGAGGGGTGACGGGGGAAGGACAGCCAGGAAGCAATGCTGCCTCACCCACCTGGCCTTTGTGTTGAAGCTGCACCTGCATCGCCTGCCTGAGGGAAAAGACACGGCATGGTGAGGCAAGAGGAGATGGCTCTGGGTGGGGGACATTGGAGAAGTCTTGTCTGCCCAGGACTCTCTTGGCGGCCTGGGCACTTCTCCCACCGTGGCAGCAGAGCAGACCAGATGCTGAGCTGGGGGGGGGGGGGGGGCCGACTTGACAAAGCAGTTGCCTTGTGCACAAACCACTGGCCTTCCCCTTTCATTGGGCAAGAAAGGGCAGGTCTGGCATGGGCACCTCCTCAGCATAGCCAGCGGCACCTTGTGCCCTCGCCCGCAAAGCCCACCCGGGCAGCCCCAGCCCAGGGGATGGTCGTCGTCAGCTGCTTCCCGTTTCCATCTCTTTCTTTTGGTGCAGGCAGAGGGGGTGATGAAAACTTTATCCCCAGGGCCCCCTTTCTTGCCACAGCCTCACCTTGGCCAGAGTACCCAGGGGAAGCAGGCCATCGCCACTTGGCTTCCTTTCCTGCACCAGGGAGGCCAGGCTCTTGGCAAGCGGCATTCCTGCCCTTAATCTGGAGGTCACTTACTCAGAATCAGCAGGATCCCGAGCGTGAAGAAAACCACGGCAAAGGTCAAGCCGCCAATCCGCAGGGTCTGGTAGTCTGGGGGGGGGGAATGGGAGAGACCAAATGGAAGTGGGGTTGCAGTTCCAAAGGGGCAGCAATGCTCAGAAATGTTAGAGGGGGTCAAATCAAGGTGTTTTGTGTCTCACCATAGTTGAAGGGGTCCTTCTCTTTCTCTTGCTCGGTCGCTGGAAAGAGCAAACAAAACATCCACAATGTGGCCGTTCTGTGGGCAGTGCAAGAGGGAGCCAAGTCCTCCCCCCTCCTCCCCCAAACGCAGCCAGAGAGGACCGGGTCCTGGACCTCCACCTGCTGTTCTGACTTTGCAGGCACGCAAGGAAACCGGCCAATTCTGTTCCTCCCCAGCAGTTGCCACAAGAGCAGGCTGGGGCACAGGCACTGGGGAGGCCCATTCCCCCAGCGCCCACAAGCTATACATACCCTCTGCCAAGATCCCTGGAACCAGGAAAGAGCAGAGGAAAAGCAGGCTGCCTCCCATCGTGGCTGTGCTGCAGGCAACCAAGAGAGAGAGAGAGAGAGAGAACATCAGGCAGCCCTGGGCAGGAGAGAAGTCTAGTCAGGGTTCCTGGGCTCAGGCTCTCAGGGGGACTTTCCAGAACCTCCTCACAATCCTGTGCTTTGGGGACTCCGTTTCGGATCATCTGCCACTTGCAGAACTGTGATTTCCTCCCACCCAGCTCCCTTCTGTGCCATCTTCTCTTGCTAAGAAGCCAGCCTGGCTGGATCATGGCAGACTGGCTTGCTTGCAGCTCAGGCCGAGGGGAGCCTGTTGCCTGAATCCCAGGTCCAGGGAGAGCCCCCAGCTTTCTTCTCAGCCATCTTTCCTCACTTTGCCTCAACCCATAGAAGCCTCCTGGCTCAGCAAGGAAGGGACCCGAGCGCCCCCCCCCCCCCCAAGAGATCCCTACACCCAGAGAGGCATCCTCCAGTCCAGACCCAGGTCACTTCTCAGCCCAGCCAGCAGCACATCCTGTTCCTCCAGCTGCCTACCTGCCTGCTGCCCTCTGGATCCCCACCCAAAATAGAAGGCAAAGCTCAGCACAGCAGCCTCAGCAGCGGCTGGAAGACAACGAAGGGACAGCACAAGGGCCCTCGGGTGCTGCTGCTGCTGCAGCAAGGCTTCCCAAAGGGCACCCGGCCCAAAGGCAACTGTTGCCACCCCCCACCCACCCCTCCACATTTGGGGACTGCCAGAAAAGTCTGGGGCTTCTTATGTCCTTGGCCTCCAACAAGCGTCCTCTGCGTAATGGGCCTGAACAGGCAGCAGCTCTCGGGCACATTCCACAGGGGGCTATATCATAGGGAACCCAGCAACAACCCCCTTCAATTGCCTCCATGATTCACCTGTCCCTTCCCTATGACCAGGCCCCTATAGGACAAGAGTTAGCAGGCCATGCAATATTTTGCATATATCAATAAAGGAAAATATTTGCAGCACAGGGTTGAAATGAAGGGGTTTTGGCACTCTCTGAGCTCAGTTGTTTTCTTGCAGATGTTTCATTACCCAAACTAGGCAACACCATCGGTGCTAGGAAGGAGTGGGATTTGCTCTCAGTTTATATTTCAGTGGCTTGCCCATCAGTCTTAGTGGGAGAATCTTGTTTTGTTGGTCTGTTTATTGTTGGCTTGATTGGGCTATTGTTTACTTGATTGTTGCTCTGATGTTAATCTTGGAATTAATCCATGCTCATCTGGGTGCTGATTGCTAGCAGTCAGGCTCTTCCAAAATGGTACAAAGGAGCCGATGAATGTTTGATTGCTCTGGAACATTTCATCAGGGGAGAGGTTAATAACAGTAGTCTTTAAAATTTATTACAATCAATAATACCTAATGACCTTGGGTGATACCAATAGCAATAACAATTAAGACTTGTATGCCACCCCACAGTTGTTTACAGCACTCTGGGTAGTTGAGGCCTATTGCCCCCAACAGTCTGGATCTCCATTTTATAGACCTCAGAAGGATGGAAGGCTGAGTCAACCTTGTGCCCCGTCAGGACTGAACTCCAGGCTGTGGGCAGAGTTTGCCTGCAATACTGCACACCTAACCACAGCGCACCCAGAGCATCCTTCCAGGCTGCTGCTGTTTTTCTTCCAGAAACCTTGGAGGAATCATAGCTGGAAGTCCCCTGGGCAGCTCATGTTGAGAGGAAGCCAAAAGATCTGCGTTATTGCATAGTTTCTAGCAGAAAACAGGGAATGCTTCTTTAAAACATGTGTTTTTACCATTTTGTGTACTTATTAAGTTTTTGGGGAAAGTAGTGGGCTGTGTAAACATGACTGCCACAAAAGCTAAAATTTTCAGAGGATGTTCTCATTTATTTGTCAGATTTTAGGTACCACCCATCTCACTTTCAAAAATATTTTTACACAATACATAATTAAATTTTGGAATTTGCTATCATGAGGTGTGATGCTGGGTAAGAGTTTCTCTGACTTTAAAAAAAGAATTGGCTGATTCGTGAAGGTTGAGGAAAACTGGCCTGAAGTATTTGCTTGGGGGCTACAGAGCTTCTTGGGAGCGCTGGCTGATGGGTCAGACGTCCAATCCAGGAAGGAGCGACTTCTGTTCCGATGTCCATCTCAGCCTCCAAACGGCTCCCACCAAGTACGAACAGCTCAGTTGCAACAGGACCTTTGGGAACCCTTTACGGTAATCCTTGAGGGCCCCCAGAAGTGACCAGACCTTCATCGACATCTTATTAGAGGTAGTCCTTGCTTAACAACCCTAGTGGGACCAGCAACTCTTAACGTACAGAGAACAGCCCAAAGCACAGTCTGCTGGAGAGAAGCTCCCCGAGGATGGATTCTAGCACGGTCCGAAAGCTCAGAAGACTAAATCTCTGGTCCCGGTGACTGATCCTGATTGGATCCCGCAACATCATCCTTGGACACCACGTAGATTCGCCTTCATTTGTGAACTTCTCTCTCTCCAGAATGAAAGCTTGGAGGAATAAATCTTTAGTCCGGGTGCAGAAGGAGCCCAACCAACCGAGAGCAGCACTGTCAGGGTCTTGCTCCAGAGGCTTCAAAGCTCTGCATTCTCTGCAGCTGGGTCTTTCAGGACAAGAGGGAGAAGAAGGCCTCCTTCCCAAGGAGTGGCTGTTTGGCCTCCATCCTAGCCCACCCAATGCCAGAAGGAAGAACCAGAGCAGGCTATTCTTCTCACGGCCGCCACGTTGGCCCACATCTTTAGCCGTTCCTGCCCCCCCCCCACTCCCGTGAGAGCCAGCTGGTCTAATGGCTAAGGCACTAGGGTGGAGAGACTGAGTTCCAGTCTGGCTTTAGCCGTGAGAGCCAGGTAGGTGATTTGGGGCAAATCTCTCTCTCTGTCTGTCCAACTCACCTCACAGGTGGTTCTTGTGGAAAAAAATAGGAGGAAGGTATGTTCGATGTGTTCATCATCTTGAGTTATTTGTAAAAATATTTGTACAAATAAAATCAGGGTACAAATAAATAATTAAATCCCCCTCCCATGTTGTGGAAGTCAGCAAAACATCTCTCATCATCATTCAGGCACCACAGCCCACATCAGCAGTTTCTGTCCCCATTTTAACTGATTGACACCATGGAGGCCACTAGGAAAGGCCTCGTCCAGATAACTTTCTCCCCCCACCACGCAAAGCGATCAGGGCCTAGAACAGATGATCACCTTGAGGGGCAACCAACAGCCAACCAGCTCAAGGCCAAAACAAAGGGCCATGGACTGCTTTGTTAACCAAGACTGGCTTAAGCAAGCCAGGGCATTTTGAACATACTGAACCACAGCTACGCTCAGCTACGCTCTGGGAACTTGACACAGTACTGTAACCCAGATGACTCCCTCTGGGTCTGGACCATCAGTGGGCCAAAAAGCAGAGGTGGGCAGAGAAATGCCTGTTAGGGAAACAGGCAGGCCCAGGGGCGGCCATGCATTCCCTTGCCTATCCCTGACCAAACAGCCCTCTTAAGCCAATGCACAAAACCACCACAAAGCAGGTTAAACATCTATGGTGCAGTTGGCATTAACTACCCCACGCAGGCAGCTATTCCAAGATCAGGAGGTTGGTCAACCTGGTGGAGGCCTCCTTCCCCCAACAGTAGTAAGGCCTGTTCATTTGTCTGGCGGGCAGTGCTGCAGAGGTCAGCAGCTAGAAGGCGACCATCTCTCTGCACGCTTCATGAAGGGGCAGCACTGCCAGGTTCTGAGCCAAGCCTTCCCTCCCCTCCCTTTGGCCAAGAGGGGTCCGAATCATACTGTGCTTTCAAGAATTGGGGCAGCTGGTGGGCTGCCGGTCCTCTGGGCACAGATGAAGAGGGCAGAGTGCCATTCATGCACGTCTGAATCAAGGGCATCTCTCACCCATCAGGGCCTCTCTCTTGGCATTATTCCACCGCAGAAGGGAGGGTGTGGGAAATCCCACGGAGCTGCCACACAACTATTTCCCTGGGTGAAGACCAAAGGGGTCCCAAGAGCCAAAGCTCACCCACCCACTCTCTTAACGATGCCAACCGCCCTTCAGGTTGGGGTCTTGCAATAACAACCCCCCACCCCCCCGTAGATGTTTGCAAGCCCAGCTGCACAGTTGGAAGTGGGAGAATTCTGGGCCGGGCCGAGCAGCACGACCTTGGCCGCTTCTCCCCCGCCCGCCAGGCGTCCTTCGGGCCCCCTCGAAGGGCGGCGCCTATGGCCAGGATGCGCGCCTGCCCTCCCTTCGCTCGACGAAACAACCCGCCCGTTTCTGGTTCGGCATCCAAGCGAATCGCCCGGCGGGCGACCGGCGCCGCGGCTGCGTCCCGCTGTCTGGCGGGAGGGGGGGTGCTGGGTCTTCTCCGAATAGAGAAGCGGGAAGGCCTCAATGCCCGACGCAGGCGGCCTCACCCCACCCCACCCCAGCAGGGGCGACGTTCGCGCCTGCGCAAGATGTTTTGCGTGTGAAGGCGGCGGCATGCCCGCCCCGCCTCAAGCATCGCAGGGCCCGTAAACAAAGCGCGCCCCGCCCGCCAAACAGCCCGCCGCCCCTCGCAACCCTTTGGGCCGAAAGCAGGCGAGGCGCGGCCCAGAGTCGTGGCGCGCGCGCGCGAGCGGGCGGGCAGGCGCGGGGCGAGAGCCGGCGCCTCCCCAGGGCCGAGCCGCGCGACCCCGGAGAGCGGGCGGATGTCCTCCGAGGCGTCCCGGCTGTCCCGGGGAAGAGCGCGCGATTCCCCGCCGAGCAGGGCGGGGTAGCCCCGGCGGGGCAGCCCCGGCGAGGCTCCTGGCGCTCCAGGGCGGGAGAGGAGCGGTCACCAGGCAACCCCGCCGGCCCCCCGATGACCGGGGAGAGCGCAAGACGGCGGACGGGCGGCTGGAGGGGAGGGCGGGGGCCGCCGTCAGCAAGCCAGAAGGGCGGGCTGCGGAAGAACGGCGCCCCCCGGCGAGAAGGAGCCCCCTGCCCGGCAGGTCCGCCGCCCCTGCTTCACAGGCGGACTGGCGGCAGCCTGCACGTGCCCAGAAGCCCCTTCCCAGTGGAGCCGTCTAAGCGCCGCCAGCTGAACCCACCGACTGCGCACTCGGAGGAAAGGCGTTCGGACGCAGGAAACGAGGGCCCCCGCCGCCCAGAGGGGGACGCCTCGCGCACCCAGCCCCGGAGTCGTCGAGCTGCCGAGAGCGGGAAAGGGCGAGGCCGTTTGGCTCCTCCCGTCTCGCCTCCTACCTTCCCCTCGGGGGGCTTCCCGGGTAGACGGCGTCCGCAGAGGGAAAGGCCGCGCAGCAGGCCTCGCGGCTGTGGCTCGGCTCAAGCCCGCGTCCCCTCGTAGCTGGCAAGGGCTGGGCGTGCCAGGGGCTCGGGCATGGCCGCGCTCGACTGGGAGCAAGGCAGGCGCTAGGCGACAGCGGAGACCCGAGCGCGCGCACGGAGGAAAGGCGGGCGGCCGCTGGCTGCGCTCGACGTGCGCGGGCAGGGTCGGGGGTCTCTCCCCCCCCTCTCCGCATGTGATGTCAGCACGGGCGGCCAGACCTGAGCCGAGGCTCTCGAGCAAGGCTGGGGGTGGTGGTGGTGGCAGCCATAGCCTTCCCTGCCTGGGACCTTTCCTGCGGGGGGGGGGGGGGGGGGGGAGCAGCTTTCTGCCTAGAGAGAAAGTGGATTTTTGACTCCACCTGTTGCCAGCTGTGCCATCTGACAGCGGGGAGGCCTGAGTTAACTCCCTGCAGGGTCCAGCGCCTGGGCTGGGAAGGTTGCCTCCTCTGATTTGGAATCTCCAGGAGCCAAAGAAGGGCGTCCTTCAGCCCTGACCGGTTAGTGGTGGAGGAGGTACTACGTCTAGGTGCCACTGAGCCAACCAGGCAGGCCAACAAACTATAACTTCCAGGTGGGCCTGAACCCACCCGTCACCTGGATGATCCCATTGCCTGGTAATGCAAAATAGGCAGCTGGAGCAGCCAATCATTGGCCCTGTCCACAGCATCCCCTGCAGGCACAACACTGTCCCTATCTCCCAAGCCAGCCCTGTCTATAGAGCAGGGAGTGGGAAAGCAGCATTTCCTTCATTAAAGTGGCTGTATCCCGGAGTTTCATGCAGGGCTTTGTCACCTGATTTGTGGAGGTGATTAAATGTGTGTTTGCAGGAACTGGAAGAACGAGCCCAGCATTTCTCTCCTGGCTTTGCCCTTCCTTCACAAGCCTTGGAGTTCCTTTCCAACCCCTTCCCTACTCCTATTCTTTACCCCAGAGGAGAGGGGAGTAGAATCCCACTATTCACTGGGAAAGAAGAGGGACTATATTAAAACCATTTCTGCACTCCTGGAGACATATCTTTGGTTTTCCATGCAGAGGCTCTGCCTTTGCTTGTCAGGTCCGAAAAGCAAGCGGGAGGGCAAACTGGGGTGCTGCTTGACTGCTTGGGTCCCTCTAGCTGCCGGTTTTAATCTTTTCTTCCCACACCCCTGAAGCCTGAAATTGTGGTGCCTGCTGCTGGTCAGTTGCAGTTCTCCTATTCTCCAGGACCTGGCTGGTGGACTTGAAGGTGTGTGGCCAGAGAGGCAGGCAAGCAGCCTAGAGAAGTCCAGGCAGGGTCCCAATGCTCCCCCCCCCCCCCCGTACCTTGACCAGTGTGTGACTTTTTTGGGTGGGGAGCAAAGCCAGAGGAGAAAGCCAAATGGAGCTTTCAGAACAGTGAGAGCTACATCCACACCGTCTGCTTAGGAGATGCATTAGGTTGGCCACAGATGGGGAAAGGTCACACCCTAAAGTTCCCCACTTAAATGTTGATTTCAGAAGAAGTCATTGCCTGTCTTGTTGGATCTGGTCAAAGGAGGGCCTGGATGGACACAGATTGGGGGCCTCTCCTGAGCCCTGCTGGCCACAGCTGCTTGAGGCAAGGGGTCCCTTTGGGCTGCTTCTGCCTCCTCCTCGGCTTTTCCTCCTGTCTTAGAACCTTTAATCTGACACACACATGCACAAACACACAATGGCTTTCGGGCTGGCTCCAGTTGTAACACTGGCCAATGTTCAAGGCAACCCCTGAACCGCTGACAGTGGAGCTCAAGAAGACCCTCTCTGCCTTAGCTGTCAGAGGCCATTTCCCAGCCATCGCAGAAGGGGAGAGGAGAGAAGGTGACGAGGAGGAGGAAGAGGAGGCAGCAAGGAACAGCTGCCATCATGATTCAGAGAAGCCGATTGGGGCAAGGAATCTGGAGAATGAACAGGCCCAGGCTGGCAGTTCTATTTTCAGCAAACAAGGGGTTCCTTTTCAGGAAAAGGCTTCAGAGAGGGAAGGGGTGGAAAATCAACAGGAGGGGTGGTTTATGCCTGCATGTTCCTCCTGCAGTTCCCCCTCTTCTGCAGGGGAGAAGGGGGTCACAGTGGGCTGCCAAGGCAAAGGTAGAGAAGCCCTGAAGTGGGGAGGCAGCAAAGGGCTGTCCTAGCGAGTCCAGTTTCCAGGGGCCTGTAGTGCTGCCAGCCAGATCCTGCCCTAGGAAGGGTTGCAGCTGGCCCTGTGCCGTCTGCGGAGGGCTCCGTAGTCGGTACTCTCTGGTGCCTCCATGTGATCCGAAGGGCACTCCCATAGAGCAAGGCCATTCCATCCTGCCCCAGCAGGTCTCACCAAGCACTTGGCTCCAGCCTCAGCAGCACCAGCTGCATCCTTCAAACCAGAGTACCCAACTGGTTCCAACAGCAGACTGGGGGACCCAGAGAACATTGGGAAGAGCCCAGTTGTCCCCAGCCCCACCATTGTCCTTGTGGCCCAAGGGCGAGGAGGTGCAGTCGCCCACCTTCACAAGCTCGTTCCACTTCTCCAGAAAGGGCTGCGGTGTTGTCCTCTTCTAGGGGGTCTGACTCTGCAAGGCAAGATGGGGAAAAAAGGGATTCCTGGACAAGCCTAGATGCCAAATTATGTGTAATCTGAGTTGGAGGGGAGGTTCCCACTCACAGTCATTTCCCTCTCCCTGATAGCTGCCTAGGGAAAGGAGGCTCTGTGCTCGGATGTCCCCTGGGAAAGGGAAGGAGAGGCTCCTCAGTGCTTCTCCCCGAGAGCAGCTGGCAGGATGCCAAATACAGCCAAGGCCTAAACCAAAGCCCTGCCACATCAGGTGGGGGGCTCAATTCAGCTTGCCTCTGCCCCATGTTTCATCAAGCACGTCAGGGGAGTGGGTGCAAGTGTCCCTCTTGCCCTAGCTTCTTTCCATGCCCATTTCCATCCTTTGCGTGCCACCTGAACTCCCCTCTTTACAGCCTTGCGAGCGAGCAAGGACCCTCTTACCTCCATTTGGCTGTATATCCAACCAAGAAACTTGGAGACTTGGGAATAGACACCTGGCTTGTTTCGCTGGCCGCAGCCAGTTCCCCAGCTGGTGACCCCAGCCAAGTACCATCGATTACTGTCCTGACAAACCAGGGGGCCACCGCTGTCACCCTAGGCAAAGAGAGACGGGCATTAGAGAGCTAAGGGTCATAATCCCCACCTGGCATTCCAGGCTTTGGTAGTTTGTAGCACTGGAAGTCCAGAATTGGGGTTTCATAGCAAAAGCCCAAAGTGGAGGGCGCCTCTGTGTCCTGCAAGGAGAAGGCCTTTCATCTTTTGTTTTTGTGTGTTGGTGTGCCATCAACAAGGTTCCCTCTAACTTTCCTGTGCCAAAAATCTGGTTTTCTACTGAAAAAAATGTAACAGCAATGGTAATTCTGCATTTGAAAGAACCATCCCACTGGAGGGGGGGAGAAGGAGTGTTGGGGGCCACAATAGCAACAGCTCTCCCAAGTTCAAAAGTCCGCTGCAAGCGTGCAAGATATCAGGAAGGGTTGCCAGAAGGGAGGCCCCTTGCCTTTGTTCCCGGGGTGCCTCAGGAATGGACCCCTCTGATTTTGTGAGCTCCGATGGACTCTGAGTCTCCAGCTGAGGCGGCTGCTCGGCCCTTGTGAGTTAGGCTCAGCGCAAAATGTGGCTTCAGATTCGGGGAGCGAGAGGGCCAAAGCCCACAGTCGTGCCACCAGGTAAAAAGGACCAGGCGGTGGAGACTGGCGTCCTCAGGAGAGAAGGAGGCAGCTCTAACTGGGAACACGGCATATAGAAGCATGTCCTCCAGACGCCCCTTTCCTACTTCCTGACCTCCTGTGTCCTGAGGCCATCCCTTCCAGGCCTCCCCTGTTCCTTGCCCAGGGACTGTACTTGGGGCTTGGGTTCTGGATCTGCTTTCAAGGAGCTCACGTGGAACCACAGACCGGGTGAGCAGCTTTCTTTTCCTGGAAGACTTTTGCTACCATCTTCCTAATAACCTTTCCTTATCTCTGTCTCAGTTGGTGTGGGAAAATTTACAGGTCACTAAAACCAGCCAAACTTGTAACTCGTTGCATCAGCCTAAGGTTGCATAGGAGAACTCTTCCACTTTCTTGTCAGGTAAGAGAACCTCTTTTACCTGGCAAGAGTCTTTGCCCCCTTGCAAAAACCCAGCACACATCATCCGGGGGGTCAGGAACCCCTCGTACACATTACGGCTGTTGCAGAGCCGATAGTCGATAATCTTCACTTCTGCTTCCCGCAGCTTGGGCGATGTATTCTCTGCAAAAGGCAAAAATTATGTGATGAAAAGAGAGCCCTGGACACCCTTCAGCCTCCCGTGCTGGGATCGAATTGGGACATGGGATCTCCAATAGAAAAAGTTCACGAGAGCTAAGGAGACCCCACCCCACCCGCATAGCATATTGGCAGGCGACTCGGGACATGTCCGGCGAGAGGGAAGCTCACCCTTTCTGTGCCACAGCCTAGCAAGTGAGGCCCACTCGCCCAGCTTACCTTCATTTTCACTGATTTTGCCAAAGCCTGTGATGAAGCAGCCCCGCCCAGGAAGAAACCTTTGGCCTGACATGGGGAGGCAGGCTGGGCGAACCTGGGCTGGAAAAGAGGGACAAGCAAGTGAGCCCCTCCTTGAACAAAAGGCAAAGGGGCCTGCTGGCCTTGGAGCTGAGGAGGCATCCAAGAACTTCACCTGAGAGGACCAAGGGCTGGGCGAGCTTCATCAGGGCAATGTCATAGTCATCATGATCATCACTGTAATTAGCATTAATGATGACCTCCGAGACCAGGATTCCCTCCCTCGTCTGCTTGAGGTCAGAGACACCAGCATAGACCTTCCATTCATCCAGGATTTTCACACTGTTCCTAAAAAGTCCAAAGGCAAAAGGTTACAGGCGCCTCTGCCTTTGCCCAGGGCATAGATATCCGGGGGAGACCCCTCTGAGACGAGGGATATGGGAATCCACCCTGATCCTGTATAGGGGGCTGTTTTGGAAAATCAATCCAATTGTTCAAATTGAGTCAGCAAATTGATCCAGAAGAAGACGCCGATGAGAATTAGTTATGGGAGCTTTTTGTCCTCATTTTTTGGCTGGGTCTCAAGAAATGGTGGGTAGGATAACGGACAGAGCCCCAGATGGGAAGTCCTGCCTTTCTGGAGTAGCCTGGCCGCCTCCTGGCAGGCATCCTGGTAGGGAGCTTCCCTTCGACAGGCATCCCACCGCCCTCCCAAGTCAACCCAGAGATTGGCCTTACATGAAGAAGCAGTGGGCTGCGGTCAGCACCCACTGAGCATCAATGATAGTGCCACCACAAATGTGAGCAGAGCCATACTGGAGGCTCACTTGCCAAGGCCATTTACTGGCAGAAGCTTCAGTGCCTCCCACAATGCGGCCGGATATCCGTTGCCCACAGTCTGCAGGGAGAAACATCCAAAAACTTCAGACAAGCCCCCCCCCCCCATACACACATGCACCACACCAATCCATCTGGAGGTGCAGGCAAGGCCTCTTTTCATTAACCAAGACTTCCTTCTACATTCCCAGCCCAGCTCCCAGCCCCATGCAGAACCCAGGTGACGTGCATGTCCGAGGTTTCTGCCCCACACAGTATTCTCTCTGCTGCCCCAGAAGGCAGGGGCACTCGGTGGCATGGCTTTGCATGCTGCTTTGATCTGCTTAGATAGGAGCTTGTGAAAGGAGGAGAAAGAGTGCCGCTGGGCATTGCCTGAGCAGGTCAGCCCTCGGGCACTGCCTCATCCCTCCTCAACTAGGGCGCAGAAGTACAAAAGCCTCTCCCTTGGGGTCAGAGCCAGGCCCCGCCCAGGCCCACCTTCTTCTGCCTCCTTACTTGTGCATCGGAGAGAAACTTGCTTTCCAGAACGGCACTGGGAGCTATAGAGGAGACCAATAAGCCAGAGGTTAAGTGAGAAACAGGGCCTGCAGCCAGCAGCCAAGGGGAGCACTCAGAATCCCCAAGTGGGTCTGCCTGCCTGGGAGAAAGACCTTCTCTCTTCTTCTCGAGCACCCAGCCAGAGGAAAGCTGCAGAGAACAGTGAGGGACAGGTGAGTCCCTTCACCTTGACTTCTCACAGGTGCAGCTGAGGATGAATGGTTGAAGGGGTCACAATGGAGGGGACTTCCTTCCTTCCAACCCACCACCTCACCCCAGCAGCCCATTACCTGTTGAGGCTCTGCTGAAGGGTTTTTCGCATCTTGCCAGCCACAAGACTTTTCCCAGAAAACGCCAGAGGGACGTATTCTGTGTCAGAAGCGCTAGGGAGGCAGAAGAGAGTTGCAGCTAAAGGACAGAGCAGCTGTGGAGTAGCTCCCCAGCCCTTGGCAGGCCAGGCCACCATGGATACAGCTTGGCCAAGAGTGGGCAGTGACTAAAAAGTCAACATCCCTGGCACAGCATGTAGCCTTCCCTCCCCCAGATCCTCAGTTTATGAACAGCCCCCTGTCTTTTCCTCACAACAAGTCCCTCCCCCTCCCCGAATCATTCTGAAGGAGTGCAGTCCACAAACAGCTCTTTCCACTGCTTGAAAAGTTGCCACCCAGGGCATTCTGCATGGGAACAGGACCAGCAAGACAAGCGAGAGGCTAAGAGTAACTTCTTCCTTCGGTGGGCTCCCTCCCCACCTTACGAGGAAGCCCAGAATTACTTAAGGAATCCAAGCTGCTGACAGGTCTTTTGGGAGAAGGCCTCGGTCCAGGCTTGGCTGCAGACAGGCAGCCACTCCCTGTCTGCTCCTGAGTAGACATGGAGCAAGGACTGGTTCCACCCAAAGCGCACTGCAGAGCAGGAGAGAAGAGAATGGAACCAGAATGGGCATTCCTGGGAGGGAAGTAGCCTCCCAGCCTCTCAACCCAAGTTCCGTCTTCTGGCTCCCCAAAACCTTCCAGCCGTACCGCAGTCCAGTTCATCGCTCCTCTGAGAACAGTCAGGAACCCCATCACATCGCACAGCGTGGTCACTGCAGCTCTCTGCTGGCTGCTTGTACACAATGCCGGTGCTGGATCGCCAGAACAAAACTGGGAATAGGATACAAGCAAGAACAATGGACAAATGGAGGCTTAGGTGAGTTTTTAGGTAGGGGGATTATTTCTTATATTGAGAAAAGGAATCCAGACTCCAGACCACTGAGCAGGAGGGAACCATTGCAGGTGGCCCCTAAAAGAGGCAAGCTTCCTGCCCCTCTATACGTAGAAAGTGGGAGAAATAGACCAATAAGGGACTTGTTGGAATTCTTGTGTGTCGCTTCAGCTTCCCTTCTCACAAAGACTATTGATTAGAGCTTCTGAGCTTCTCACTCTTTGGATTAACTGTGTCCTGTCTAGACTGCACGGAGGAATGTCTGGCACACGGCACTTGCAAATGCACCTCTTCAGCATTGGCACTGCCAGCTGAACAAGTTCCCAGCTCTTGTTGCTATTAGGAAGTGGGTAGCAGGTACGCTCCCTCCAGAGACTCTTGCAGAGCATTGGAAACAGCATTTGTGCCAGAGATCATTCCTTAGCAGTGTGATGTGCAGGCATCACCATAGAGGAATCTCTAGGGGAAAAGTTTTAAAGGAGATCTAGGTTAGTCCAGGGTAACCAAAAATCAGATGGAGTCTGGTAGCATCGTTTCTGACCACAAAACATATATATCTGATGAAGTCAGCTGCAGCTCGTAAAAGTTTGCCTTTAAGTAAAATATGATAATGCAAAAGATACTAGCAGAAACCACCACCCCCGATTCTGGGGAAAGGGAATTCTGTGGCCCAGAAATGCAGCAGTTTGTTCATTTCTCATCTGTTCAAAGTTGTCCATGCTATTAAAACCAGTGACTGAGAAGGAGGAAGGGCGTGGAAGTCCTTTCCCTGTTGCAGCAAACTTGCTAAGAGGATCTTTCTCACCTCCTCCCTCTTTCTCCCCCTCCCTCTTTCTCCCCCCTTCTGTATCTCCAAGAAGGGCACAAAAAGAGGGACACGTTGCAGCTGCTTCTGCAAGTGGCATAAGGGGCTGAGAAACAGAAACCAGTTGTGCTGCTGACCCAATGCTTGTGGGACATCAGCAAAATCTAAGTAGCCTTTGCCAGGGATCAGGTGCTGGTTTCCAAAAATGATCTAAGTCCAATCCTGGGCACATTCATGAAATATCTCACACCTCAAGAAGGTGTCCCAGCATTAGCTATCATTTCCAAAGCACATAATGAATCATTTCAAATTATTTTGCATTGGCCAGTTCTGGACACTGCACTTCTGAGTAGCTTTGGAGAAAGGCAGCAAAATGCTCTGGACATCGTATACTTGGATTTCAGGAAATATGCAGGTGCCACTAAGCTGGCAGGAATAGCCAACACCCCTGATGATGGCCCAGGATCCAAATGGATCCTGACAGACTTGAATACTGGGCCCTATCAACAAAATGAAATTTAATGTAAAGAAAAGTAACGTTTTATACTGAGGCAGGACAAACCAAATATACAAATACAAATTAGGTGAAACCTCGCTATACCATTTCAGATAAGTGACTCTACAGTCTCTTCTTAAAAGGTTCCAGTGATGGAGCACGCACAACTTCTGAAGGCAAGCAGTTCCACTGGTTAATCGTTCTCATTGTTAGGAAGTTTCTTCTTAGTTCTGGGTTGCTTCTCTTCCCTCCTTGATTAGCGTCCATCCATTGTATGAGGGAAGGAAGAGGAGAAGAGGGAGACACTGGCATGCAGCTGGTTTCCTTCTCTCTCCTTTTCTCCCTCTATGGATTCCAAAATCAACAACAAAGAAGGGAAAGGAAATGTTTCTGGCAGGAAGTAGGAATAACAACGAAACCAGGTCTTAACCTGGTTTTCTCCTTGAGGCTCTGCAAAGTCACCACTTGGAAATGTGGGACACATACTTACACCAACTCACATGCATTTCTCTGTATCAGAATAGGCCCTTTCTTTTTTCAGCCAGTGCCCCTACAGGAGAACGGTCTGTGAATCTCTGAGAAGGAGGGAAGGCTGGACTTCTGCCTGCTCAGAAAGGCCCTGCCCAGTGTTTGACTCACAGAAGGAGGGTCGCCCTACTCCTCCATAGCACAAGGAAGAGAGTTAGGGGTATGGGGGGTGTGATAATATTGCCTACAATGGAGACAGAGCAGCTTTTGAAGGATGATGCCTTTGTAAGAGGCAGCAAAGCCCTTGCAAAAAGACAAAGTAATCCTAGGGGTGAGACTGACCCTCCCTCCCAGGGACCCAGCCGTGTTTCCTGTCCTGCAACAATCAAGAGAAAAGTGAGGGGGCATGTCTGCCGTTGTCCCTCACCCCAGTCAGAGCCGGGAAGCAGAGCATTGCAGATCCACAAAGGAAGAGCCACTGGCCATGGCCACTCACCCCAGGGTTGCAAACAGTAGTACTCCTTCCTTCATGGAACCTGATCTCACCAGAAATGGAAACTGTGCTGATAATTCCTTTGGTCACCAAAGAGACCTGGCTCTTTGGACTGAGCCTCCCCTCAGATATCAGCAGAGAACTTCTGTCTAGGTGGAAAGAACCAGGAAGTCATTCCTGCACACCATAACTTGCAAGTTGTGGTGCAACCAGAACAATCTTGAACTAAATACACTCAAAACCGTAGAAATAGTGGTAGGTTTTAGGAGAAACTCTCCTATGCTACCACCTCAACACAGCATCAACAGTAGAGACTTTCAAGTTTCTAGGTTCTATCGTATTTCAAGACTTAGTGGGCACCTAACATCAAAAACATCATCAAAAAAGCACAACAAAGAATGTTCTTTCTGCACTAATTCAGAAAGCTCAAACTGCCCAAGGAGTTGCTGATCCAGTTCTACAGAGGAATTATTGAATCTGTCATCTGCACCTCTATGTCTGGTTTGGTTCTACAACCAAATAGGAACGACACAGGCTTCAATGGATAATTAGAACTGCAGAAAAAACAATTACTACCAACCTGCCCTCCACTGAGGACCTGTATACTGCACCCTGAGTCAAAAAGAGGGCTGTGAAAATATCTACAGACTCCCCACACCCTGGACCTAAACTGCTTCAACTCCTACCCTCAAAACGACTCTATAGGGCACTGCACACCAGAACAACTAGACATAAGGACAGTTTTTCCCAAATGCCATCACTCTGCTAAACAACTAATTCTCACAACACTGTCAAATTATTTATTGATTGTATTACTATTCTTCTTCTCATCCTTCCTAGTACTATCTCTTCCCACTTATGACTATAACCATATTGCTTGTATCTTTACAATTTATATTGTTTTATTTGTTTCCTATGATTATTTGATTGCTTAATAGTAACCTATGACTATCACTAAGTGTTGTATCTTATGATTCTTGATGAATGTATTTTATTTTTTCTTTATGTACACAGAGAGCTTATGCACCAAAGACAAATTCTTTGTGTGTCCACTCACACTTGGCCAATAGAGAATTCTATTCTATTCTATTCTATTCTATTCTATTCTATTCTATTCTATTCT